AATCGTGTCCACGGGAACTTACGATTACAATCATGTTTGTAAAATATAGCTAGTTTTCTATTATTTGCAAACAAATTAAGCCGTGTGTTTTTCTATAAACTTAAATAAAGGCAACAGTAGTATACCGCTGTTCGAAACTCATAAATCGATAGAGATAAAAACAAATCCGGGTTACAAACTAAAACTGAGGGAAACGCATCAAATATAAGAGGAGAACAACGACACAACAAAAACACAACATTAAAATGTAACACACAAAGAAACGAACTATAATATAACAATGGCCATTAAATTTGTCAACAAGCGACCTTTGTCACACTGGGCACTCTACTATTAATGTCGCGTTCTTAGTAAAACTTTTGTGCAATAACTGTTTAGAAAATTTTATCTATCTATAGGTTTAAAGATCTGAAAAATTAAATATAAAGCAAAATTAAAAGCAAAATTTTCTCAATTGCAAAAAAAAAAAACAACAAAAAACAACAAAAAAACAGAAGACAAATATTTTCTTTTGACGCAATTGATGTCTTTTGCACTACGCTTTGGGATTTGTCGGGATAAATAATGACATTTTCTGAATGTTTTAAATAAATCTTTCACAAAATTTGAACGACAGTAGGGTTCATTTTGCTGAACACTGTAAATAGTTTTCACTGAAAGGGGCATTAGCTATGAATTCGATACAAAAAATGAAATATGATTGTTTATGTTTCAAACATTTAGAACAGCGGAACAAAGAAATAATATTTCGCTATTAGCCTTCAGTTGTGTTCAATTTCATTAAAGTAAGCCAAAAAACATCACTTATGTATTTTGCCTTGCAAGTAAATAATTCAACGCATTTGAATCCGTAGTCATGCAACCTTTTAATTTGACCTTAAGAGGAGATAGGCGCTCATGTCTTCACCATATGTCTCATTCATTTAATAGAAAAGAATGTCAACATTGAAAAGCGAAACAATGAATCCATCAGGAATAACCCTTTTGTTGACTGATAAGGCCCACAAAAAACATTTTTATACAGGTAAAAAGAAAATTTACTTATATGTTTAACCTATAACATGAAATCCAACAGACTATAAAAACAAATCCGATTGCACGTGCTCGCTATCTTTTTATATTTACGTTTATATCGGATTATATGACCATCAGTAGTCTTCGGAGGTCATCTCTATTGATATATATATGATGTTTGATCTAAAATACGTACGCAATCCTGCTACATTAAAGCGAACCCATGTGATGTTAATTGTTTCTTTTTATCTTTTTGTAATTTGGACATTCGTTTTTGTATGTTAAAAATAAATAAGAGAACTTGAGTCTCAAATCGCTGAACTTGAATTTGACTTCGTACTTTTTTTAACCTTTTCGATTCGATGAGTCTTTTGTAGAAGAAACGCGAGGCTGGCGAACACAATTTTAATTCTGGTATCTATAATGAGTTTATTGACATCAAATGCCCCTTTAAACAGCAAGACGATTTGTAGATTTTATAGTATATAATCAAAAATAAGTTATTGATTAAATATGAACAAATATTGATTGAAAATATATTGGAGAAAACTTGCGCGGCTTTGATTCCTTGGCCACATTGGTATTACTTTTGATCCTTTGATTTTTTCAGCTCTTCAATGTTTTTTGTTAGGAGATTGGGTTTCACATAGTGTTGTCTCGAGCATCACAATAGAGACATTTATTGTCGAAATACTTATCTGGTGCAGTAAAATTTATGTCGTTAAATGTGATTACAATATTATGAAAAGATACCATATAGGGCTATATTTCTCATTATGAATTAACTACTCTGTTATTTGAACTAATAAGATAAAAACTGTCTATGAAATACAAAAGTGTCAACTCGGCCAATACAGAATAGGCCCCAACAAGAAAAATATGAAACAATTCAATTGAAAAAAAGCTGAAATATTGATACAACCATTCAAATCTGTCTTCACAATAGACAAATCCATAACAATACCAGAAACATCAAAACAAATAGAGGAATCTATGCCTTGCCTTATTATAACAGAAAGGGGATTTGAAAAACGGCATCAAAATGTGAACGCATGAAAAGCTTCTGTACCAGATGGAATGCCGAACAGAATACTCAAAGAATATGTAAGCCAAATAACAACAGGACAGACAGTGATCTCTCAAAAATATGTAGACACTGGAACTCTACCACAGAAGTGGCTAAACGCAAACATATCATGCGTATTAAAAACAATAGATAAAAATGCTGCTGAGAATTAATCACCTGTAACATTCTCATCAGTTCCAGGTAAAATCCTAGAACACATGATATGCAGGCACATAATGAAACATCTAGAAAGGCACGAAGTTTTAACATCATAAAGACATGGTTTCAGATCTGGTTATTCATGCGAAATCAAATTACTAGTCACCTTAAACGACTTCATGGAAGCATATGACACCTGTTTCCAAACTGATTTTGCCGTCTTAGATTTCTCCAAAGCTTTCAACAGAGTACCCCATAAGAAACTGCTGTAAAAAATGGGCGGATATGTAATTAGAGGGCCAATAAACAACTGACTGAATATGTTCTTAACAAACAGAAAAATGAAAGTAGTAGTAGAAGGAAAACAATCAGAGGAAGTAACAGTTGATTCTGATGTGTCACAAGGCACAGTCCTAGGACCGTTACTCTTAGTTTGTCATATAAATTACCTCCAAGACGGAGTCAGATCTTCAGTTCGACTTTTTGCAGATTCATAAAGACACAAAAAGATCATGACATTCTCCAAGAAGATCTCAATAACCTAGAGGTATGGGCCAATAACTGGGTAATGAGGTTCAATGCAAGGAAATGAACACCCTAAGCATAAAAAACTAGAGCCTAAAATTCTAAAGTTTAAAAGGACACATTCTACAAGAAGTGGAAACTAATCCATACTTGGGCCTACAAATTTCAGAAGATCTTAAATGGACTACTCATATTTCCAAAGTAGCGAAAAAGGCTAACTCAACACTAGGCTGACTGAGGAGGAATTTGAGATACTGCCTACAAGAATGCAAGAAAACAGCATATATTGCGCTTGTCAGGTCATCAATGAGTATGGAGCAATAATATAGGACCCCTACACACACACAAACATTAACAAGAAGATGGTTACGTCTCTAATATGCTCGCCAAACTGGAACTTCAAGATCTACAGACAAGACACTCAAGCCAAAAGCTTATATATCTGTACAAGGTGGTTGAGGGGCTAGTTCCTGCTAAAGAACCAGACGAATATTAAAAAAGCACGTCCAAAAAGAACAATTACTGCCAAGAAATTTGACAACTACCAGACAATTAATATTTTGGAAAAACAAGTAAAGAACAACTCAAAGTGTTTTGAAATTCCAACTAGCCAAACACCACAATATTCAAACTCATTATTCGTGAAAACAGTGATCGAATGGAACCACCTTGAAGACACTGTAGTGGGCGCACCGAGCATTGACGGCGCTCTCTCTAACGTTGTATTGAATCCAGTATTGGTTTCCACAACGTATTCATACAGCTACAGATACAGATAAAGAATGTGGCGGGGTTACATGTTTGTGAGCGCTTAATCCTCCCCCAACCTGGGACAGTGGTGTTACAGAACAACATAAGAACAAACTATAAAAATCAGTTGTATTTGGCTAAACTCAAAACATCGGTACGAGGCTAAAAAACAAATAACATAAAAAATTAGACACAAAGCAACGAAATAAGAGTACTCGCAGTTAATGAAAGCTAGTTCAAAGCCAATTACAATTAATAGATAAATCATGTTCTCCCAAATTAAAGCATCAATCATTACAAATCCAACGGATATAGTGCAAAAACGCAATAAACAGTCTGAGAAACATGTGGCGTTGTGCAATTCCATGTTTTAATTTTTCAAAAACAAATTAGATGTTTAATCAATATTTAAAGATTTTTCTTCTGTGTAAAATTGGTAACCTTTAAAGTTAAATTATAAGTTTATTAAAAAATGCAATAACTTCACATGGATCGTATCAAAATTTACGGGCTTTATAAACAACATCACCGTAAAAATTAGGATTGGACATCCCATTTTGAATAAGAACTCTTCAAGTACAGCCAAACTTCCTTACCAAATCGTTGTAACTTTGAAAGAATTTAGTAAAAATTTTAATTAATTTGTGAAAACGAAATCCTTGACTTAATAATTTATCAGTTATACATAAAATTTGTAGATTGAAATCTAAATCGCTACTATAGACACGAGTATAGCGAACAAGTTGTGAAATATACACACCATAAGAAAGGGCCAAAGGAACATTCCCTTCCAAAAAGGGAAAATTAACAACTGGGAACGAAAAATCGTCTCTTTTGTCGTAAACTTTTGTATAAGAGTTTCCTGTGTGAAACTGACATATCCAAACCTAGAAACGGAAAATTCTTGATCATTGAAAGAACAAATATCATCAAAGTAACGAAAAGTGTTTTAAATTAATCAATTAAACGTAATTTAGACGGATATTTACTGCGTTTGGCCATAAACTGTGATTCAAAACAATACAGGAACAAGTCTGCTATTAAAGGGCGCAACGGATGCCCATAGGAACACCGTCAACCTGTCGATATACATTATTGCCGAAACGTAAATAGATGTTGTCAAGAAGAAAATATAAAGCTTTAATCATCTCATCACAGTTCTAGTCAGTTTTTCTAGGCTTAACATATTTCCCGTTTTCATTACAGAAGAAGGCTTTATATGAGTTCCAAGCAAATCAATCTGCAACCGGATTTTTCAAAGGACCATTTAATTAAATAAGAGAACTAGTCGATAAATCATAATTGTCAACTGAATTGAACGGACCATCAAAAGCACGCAATTTGTCCAAAACATCTAAAGACACTCCAAAAAAAGTTAATTCCATTATTTTCGTATGCTTTATTACAAAAATTGATAACAAGATCTTTAATAGAAGTATGGGAACTAATAATAGAGCCCTTTTAAGCTAAATGTAACAAAACATACCGCTGTTAAATCTGTCCATATATCATTAAACTGTTGTGTTGGAATCGTGCTTCTATGGAATATGTAATTTCGATAATGTTTAATTCTTGCTAAGTCTGCTCCGTCGTGTATCTCATTATTTGCAGGAAGCTTATCAAATCCATTTGATGGAGATACTATGTGTGTTAGGTTCCGCAAGAGACATACCATTAGTGAGATGTCAAAGTTTTCAGATAGTGTTGCACCTTTTTCATAAAATAAGAAAAATAAATAATGCAGATTAATATGATAAATTTAAATTATTACATTGTTTGCAATGAATTACCGTGATTTCCCAGTTAAATAAAAACCGATAATTTCACATGTGAAATAAATTCGATAATTTCACTCCTCTGACGTCATACAACTATAGGTGTTGCCAAGACGTTGTCGATGACATTACATCAAAACAAATTGTGAATGCGTAGAAAAATATATAGTCCCTTGCATTTTCTATTTTATTTCCATTAAAAAGCTCATTGTCAATGCAATAAAAGGAATAACTTATCAAAGAATTCAAAAATCGAAAAATTTTCAACTCGTGACCGAACAACACTGATAATTAACTCATTGGCTACGCGCATTCGTGAATTAATGCGTTGTTCGGTCACGCGTTTGATATTTTTCTATATTTGAATTCTTCTATTAGTTATTCTATAAATAACCTATATAAATACTTCATACCTAGAATAAAAGATTTTAGAAATCACACAGTTTTTCCAGAGCACCCTTTATCGGTGGCTTTGTTAGTGTGATTAACTTCTTGTGACGTTTATTTTTTCTATTTTATCAGTTACCTCATTATAATTTCTGTATCATAAATAGCTTTTATTCCAATTCCTAAAAGATATTCACTTACAAATATAATTTAGTTTGTAAGACAGAAATATTTGCAAAATCTGAAAAAAAATGCATTTCCGTGCAAGTTGTCGACGGTTTCAGAAATTATTGTCCAATATGAATGACTGTAACACTAACTACTGAATGTATACTTTGTAAATACGAATCATTTACTATTTAAATAGTAGAATGCCCATATCGTTATTAAACAAGATTGCCGAGCCCCTGTGTTCTACTTTCCTTGTGTGGGTTTTGAAATGTTATATAATGTGTATACTAGTACTTAAAAACATATACATACCAGTTGCAGGATACAAGAGACTCAACTGCATTGCATTAAGCACTCGCATAGATCTAAGCTTAGACTCCTCATTCTTTAATGTTGTAGGAAGTGATGTTGGCGGAAAATGTTGGTTGAATTTTACTCTAACAGACGGTGTAGCAATTGTGTTAATGAATATGATTAATTTGAGATAATTTGCCTCTTCATTTGATAGTTTTGGCATTTTATCATGTTCTGTTGTCTTGTCAACTGCAAAACCTGAGTCCTTTTTCTTCCAGTGCGATCACTACAGTCATTGGACTCCTTATAATAATAGAAAAAGATTTTTAAAACCTTGTACGTTTTGTATAACTTTGCATATTAAACAAAATATGAATAATACAAGCATCATATCCTTATATCGAGTTGTGTTATTTAAAAACTTTGGTATTATCTACTTGATATAAATTTAAAACCAATATGAAAGGGAAAGAAAAACAGAGACGAAGCTACAAAGTATTTGTGAAGTTAACACCTATAAAAAGAAAAACAGAGACGAAGCTACAAAGTATTTGTGAAGTTAACACCTATAAAAAGAAACACAGAGACGAAGCTACAAAGTATTTGTGAAGTTAACACCTTTAAAAAGAAACACAGAGACGAAGCTACAAAGTATTTGTGAAGTTAACACCTGTAAAAAGAAAAACAGAGACGAAGTTACAAAGTATTTGTGAAGTTAACACCTATAAAAAGAAACACAGAGACGAAGCTACAAAGTATTTGTGAAGTTAACACCTATAAAAAGAAACACAGAGACGAAGCTACAAAGTATTTGTGAAGTTAACACCTATAAAAAGAAACACAGAGACGAAGCTACAAAGTATTTGTGAAGTTAACACCTATAAAAAGAAACAAAGAGACGAAGCTACAAAGTATTTGTGAAGTTAACACCTATAAAAAGAAAAAAAGGAGTGCCAGTGTATACAACAACCAAACGACAGAAATAATAAAAAGACATCATTAGGTCATTATTAAGTCGTCATTAATAGACAGGTGTCTTTTGATGTGTCAAGTCGTAAGAAGTCCATACTCTAAACGAAATTATGAAATAAGGTATTTAACATAATCTATCAAATGTCTGTAATCAACTCTACATTCTCTCAATATCAATATATGGTTATATATCTTGATTATAAAATATTTGTCTTCCAAACGAACGCAAGTTAGTCTTCTTCATGGGTAAAAGTGAAGAAAATAAACAGTGTTGGATCGGGCTTCTCAGCTTCTTAAGATATTCGAACATTTTTAGTAAGACAGGAAAGGAATTAGCCGTGGGGAAGCTCTTTATAACTTTGAATTATGAATCATTTATTTTTTTTACAAGAGAATCGAGACATTATACATTATACCCCCCCCCCCCCCCCCTTTTTGGAAACTCATTATATTTTAGTATTTAAAAAATAGGCATGTTTGTGTTTCATCCACATTTCCCGAAATAACACCAGGATTCTTCTGTCGATATATTAAATTACACACGTATCTAATGTATATGAACTGGATAATGATCAGCTGGGTCGTAGATTGGAACGTTTTTATCTTTTACAGAATTTGGAAAGATAGATGTGACCGATTAAAGAAACATTAAATAATGTGTCATGTGTTGGATTAGTAACAATTTGATAAGTACCATGATGGCAGTGACTTCAGAAAATCAACATTAGAATAACTTAAAATTATAGTATATTGATTTACAGTCAAAGCATTTACAACCTCATTTTCAAAATACGAATACCACAGGGCTTCTAGGAGGTGTATATGAAAACATAGTAAAAAGTTAATTTATTGACAGGAAATTATAAAACAAAGTAGTTCAATTTGAACTTATTCGAAAAATTTAGACGTTCATATTTGTTTAATGTCCACAGTCAACAGCCAAACCTCCATCATTAAAACACAGATTTCGGAAAAGCTATATATGTTACAACCATGAAATATATATTTTTTATGCTCATTACCTGCTCATCATCCCCAGGCAGTCCTTCATAGTTATATGAGTTGTTCAAACTATATCCAGTTTATAGATAAATCCCTACTTGTAATGAGTCAGTCCTACCTCTGTTTACATTTGTTCAGCTGCATGTAATTAATAAGGAATTATTTATTTCAGGTCAACATGATTATTGTTTTTAATTGATAATTCTTCATTATTCTACATATTTATGTATACAACAAAACACAGAGATGGTTTTATATGTCTCTGACGTTACAATTTAAACTTGAAAAATTTTTTTTATACCCATTAAAAAAAATGTTCACACCCCATGGCCTTAAGCTTGTTTTATGTTGTGAAAACATTTTAATTTGTTTACATTTCGCCTTTGAAAGATAAAAGTTTCATATTATTAGTGAAATGAAAGTTTCAGGTTTTTTTTACAGTATATTGGCATTTTACTGTATCTTTGCAATATTTACTACGTATTTGATATACATGATTGGGGATTTTAGTTGACAGATCCTTGGTATCTGTCACACCCAGAATAAATCCCGATATTCTTGGCATTTACAATAACTAGTGATGCATACATATGAACGCATGTTTTATAAAGTAATTTGTTATTTCTGTTGGAGCCTGAAAGTGCAAAAAACTTGTATCATATTATTAAGCTGTTAACAATTGAGAGACTGATGGTTTCATTTAACAATATAAAGAGCTGACGTTTTTATTTTCTATTGAAACTTTGAAATTTAATATATCTTGTTCAATACAGGCATGACAAGGGTGAATGTGAATGATGAATGGGTATCCATGTCATGTGTTAAGGTCTATATCTCTCAAGTCCTAAAAAAGTTCAAAATGATTAAAAATTAAATTCAATAATCACCAAACCGTGTCTAATTATTTACTTCTCTAAAACGTGTCCAATTGTTTCCTCTCTCAAACGTGTCCGACAATTGTTATCCGCTAAAACGTGTCAACTTTAAGACGCCAAATCGTTCAAAAACTTTTAGCGATAATATGGCCTTTGTGACGACAGTAAATTTATTGATGAATTATTGTCGGAAAAAAACTTTTGATAGCTAGTGTTTTATATGTTTTGCAAACCCGATTTTAAATATAATTTGTTTCATCTATCTTATGTTAGTCGAGTTTCTACTGACAAAAAAAGAAAAGAAAAGAAAACCGCAATTCAATGACATTAACGTAGAAGTATTTGTGAGCACAACTCCCGAGGATTAAAAAAGTTACTGAGTTAAATGAAGTAAATCAAAAGTTGTGACCTCGTCACATTGCAGAGAATGTCAGTGAAGGATTATAACAAAAATTACAATTTGTATATTTTGCAAGGAATCAAGACATTTATAATGTTTATTATGCATTAATATGGAAAGCCACAGTGAACCCCCCGATCATTATTATTTTTCCCTTAGAAATACATGGATTTAAATAAATCTTCGGCTTTTAGAATCCCGCCGATTATTATCAATTCAATAATCTCCGGCTTTTAAAGATAAAGACCCCGCCGATTATTTTCAATGTCAAAATCTTCGGCTTTTAAAAATTCACCGCCGATTATTTTCAATGTCGAAATCTTCGGCTTTTAAAAATTCACCGCCGATTATTATATTATAAAATCTTCGGCTTTTAATTAAATGGCCGCCGATTATTTTCAATTATAAAATCTTCGGCTTTTAATCAAATGGCCGCCGATTATTTTCAATTATAAAATCTTCGGCTTTTAAAAGTCTGACCCCGCCGATTATTATCAATTGTAAAATCTTCGGCTTTTAATCAAGAGCCCGCAGATTATTTTCAATAATAAAATCTTCGGCTTTTAATCAAGAGCCCACCGATTATTATCAATAATAAAATCTTCGGCTTTTATAAACCAAACCAAAAACGGGCGTATAAAAAAAATAAAGAAAAGAACAATGAAATGGAGAATATAGAATAATGGAGTGTTGTATTGAGTGATTGAAAAATAATGGGGAAAAATATGAAGAATACAGAAAAAATTCGTAAGGGTTCCGCGGAACCCAGTGTCTCGCCTACTTTTGCTGTTAATCGCAGGCTCAACAAAAATGAGGAAAAAAATAAATAAAAATATTCCTCTCTATACTATCTTTTGATTGTTAGTAGCTTCTGTCCAAGTTTGGTAAAAATCCAGGATAGTTTATAAATCTAATAAATGTTTTAAAAACTTAAACTGCAGACTGCATGTAATGTTAACTGGAAGAAAAACAAAGTCCATTTATAAGTAAAATACGGAAAAAATCAAACAAAATTTTAACAAAATTTCCTTCTAGATACTAGCTTTTAATCATAAACAAGCTTCTGTCCAAGTTTGGTACAAATCCAGGATAGTTTAAGAAAGTTGTTGAAATTTTAAAAACTTTAACCACTGAGTGAATGTAATGTTAACTGGCAGAAAAACTAAGTCCATTTATAAGTAAAATACGGAAAAAATGGATTTTTTTTTTTACAAAATTTACTTCTGGATACTATCTTATGATCATAAACAAGCTTCTGTCAAAGTTTGGTAGAAATCCAGGATAGTTTAAGAAAGTTATTAAAATTTCAAAAACTTTAACCACAGAGTGAATGTAATGTTTCTTGGCAGAAAAACTAAGTCCATTTATAAGTAAAATACGGAAAAAATGGAATTTTTTTTTACAAAATTTACTTTTGAATATTATCTTATGATCATAAACAAGCTTCTGTCAAAGTTTGGTAGAAATCCAGGATAGTTTAAGAAAGTTATTAAAATTTCAAAAACTTTAACCACAGAGTGAATATTTGTGGACGCCGCCGACGACGACGACGACGACGCCGACGGAATGTAGGATCGCTATGTCTCGCTTTTTCGACAAAAGTCGAAGGCTCGACAAAAATGACCTAAAATATAAAATTTTGAACAATACAGAAATAACATTGAATAAAAGACCCCCAAAACCCTATCCAGACTTTTGTATAAAATAAGGAGATGTGCAGCAGCTGACAGAATCCAAATGACTAGGGGTGTAAGCAACTTTAGGTCACCTTACAACCTTCAAAAATGAGCAAAACCCATACTGTAGTCAGTTTTAATTGGCTAAAAAGATGACCAAATGTGTGTCCATGCAAACAAAAAACAGAAATGCCCTAATTAAAGACAAAACAATAAATGAAAATCAAATATGGCAGACAGCAATGAATTATAGGCTCCTGACTTAGAGTAGGCATTTATAAAATATGGTGGGATTAGTGAATTTACACATGA